GGATGAAGAGACGGCTGGGAGGGAGTGGATTTGATGAGAAATGTTTTTCTGGGAGTGTTTTTATATAAACTGCAGTTAATCTCAGCATCGTTTCTAAAACTTAGTGGGCTTCTTACTAACAACTATGAAAAACCTTGCTAACTAGCACTTCTTAACTAAACTATTTAGTGGAAACCTAACTAGTTTCTAGTGTGGTTAGACTTGTCTGCTTGCTGGAGAGCGGCCGGTGATTTGAAGGAGGCATAGAAGCACCTGAGTTGGTCAGGGGGCCCCAGTGTCTGGGTGGGATGAGCTGTGAGGGGGAGGGGCTGGGGTCCTACAGAACTGAAGACAGAGGGTCTCGTCTTTGTGCCAACAGTAGGCCTCTAGAGTATTAAGGAGCTGCCTTTAGGAATTCAAAGAAAGAAAGGTGATTACATCAGAAAAAATTTTTTTCTTTTTAATTTCCAGCTTCCCTTCAGCCAGGAAGAAAGGCTCAAGTTATTGTCTGGAAATACATATGATAAAACAAGCCCGAAGATACAATTTGATTTTGTACAGACGATGCTCACGGGCTTCGTGAAGCAGGGATCATGTGTACACATACATGATGGAAATGTGTGCTGTAATGTTTATTGAAGTTTAAAAATAGCCTCCCCCACAAGCGGGGTCCACTCCCGTTGAGTGAAAAAAAAATGGCAGAGACAGGCCTTTGTGAGGCTCTCGGCAAACACCCTACCTTGATGGCAGCGTCTAAAAGGCCAAGCAAGCAAGGGAACAGACGTGTTTCCTTCAGACTGTGAGCTGGTGCCTTGAACATTCCAAGTGGCAGGCCCTGGGAGATGCCACAGGCAGGGAATTTGAATTTGTGACTCAACTCTCTCCCCATCCACAGAGGTGGGAGGGAGCTATTTTTCCCTTGAGGGATTGGCTGGTTTGCCCTGGTGAGGAGCTTGCCTGAGTCTGGTGGCACAGAACTGGTTTGCTAAGTAACCCAGCCAGCCTCCCTCACCCCCCCCCCGGGCAGGTCCTCCCATGGGAACAGGGGGAGCTCAGGAAGCTGGGAACTGGAGAGCGAGCTTGGGAGGGAGGGTGGGCAAGGAAGCACCTTCTGAGGGTTAGAGGAGAGCAATGGAGAACCAGATCCCCAGTCGGCCCCTGGCCTCTGGCCCTGATTCCTCCAAGATGGAGGCGGACTGTGTGTGGGCAACTCCCTCAGCCTGGTCTGAAGCTCGCTCCACTGCATTTTAGACGTGGGGCTGAGACAGGGAGGCCTCCCCACCGTCTGTCTGTCTGTTTTCTCATCTGCAAAGTGAATATCCCTTGCTTCCATCTCTCCTGTGCTCACATGTCAATACCTAGCACCCATTGTAATGGGTGCTTCTGCCCCTTCTTCACTCACTGGGTGTGGCGGACCTCGGGAAGATGGCTGGTTCAATGGTGGAGCGTCGGTAGTGAACCTGAGGTTTCGTAGTTACGTAATTGCATTTATGTTGGCATAGTGGAGGAGTCTAGCTATTAATACTTTTAAAACTCCCTGTTCGTTGTCCTGAAAGATCTGGTTGGGAGCATCACCCGGTGGCTGGTCTTGAATAAAGACCTAGTTTGTTCTATCAGAGATCCCATGTTACTGGAGGGGAGAACCGACGGCCAGAGGGCGTCTAGGTCCCTGGATTGGAAAAGCCTCTTTGTGCCTGTTCATCAAAGGTAGTAGGTGATGGTGGCCTGGGTAGGTAAGATGCATGGGAAATCTACATGCTCGGGGCGGGGACGGGGGAGAAAAAAGTCATTTTCCCCCCAAGGACCATGGTTCCACCTGCTGCTTTTCTCCCTAGAGATGAATGAGACAGTTAAACTCAGCTGTCTCTTTAGCCGTTATCGGCTCTCCCTGCCCCCTCTCTGCTGTCTCTTCCTTTCCCTCCCCCCCACCCCCACTGTCAACCCTCCCCCATCCCTCTCCTTAGAGGGGATAAACGATAGTAGTAACATAGTGGGTGGTTGACTCTTAGCGCCTGTAGTTGTCTGTTTTCTAGATCGAGATAAATGGGACCACAATTTATAAAGTTCAGGCCTTTCTATCCTGGAGAAATTCTCAAGGATGTAATCATCTGCTTTTGCATTTAAATAAGGAAGTGACGCAAAATGAATCTATCAAGGTGTTCCTTTTCCTCAAATACTGGTGAGAGTTCTAGTCCTGGGAACCATTGATTTAGATGGTTCACTGTGGTCTTGTCCTTACTGCCCTCAAGGGGAACTTGAACTTTTATTTCCTAACTCAACCACGTGGGGAGACTGACCTCTAGAGGAACCTTTGCTTGTATAGCCAAATAGCCTCATGACCGCTGATTTCACTGTAGTGTGGTTACTACACACTGACTCACACTGTCCTCTATTTTTTTTTTAACTGGGAAAACTGTAGAACCACATTAAAGAGGAAATAAAAGACCAATAGTCCTCCATGACTCACTGTTACTGGTGATTTCCTGCACATCACATATGTCTGCATCCCTCTCCCTATTTCTTGAGCACAGCTAAAACCCACACCTCCACACCAGACCTGTAGGATATGTCAGAAGTCCAAAAGGGCTGGATTTGAAGTGTTTCTTCATTTAAGTAGGAGTTCCTAGAAATAGCTGTGTGTACTTGGATAGCCCAGTAGTTAAATGCCCTGCCCTTGAAATGGCTCAATTTTGTAGCACACACAGACGTTTGAGCCCCCGCTGTTGTCGCTCTGCAAGCCCACACCTTTGCAGATGTCACCAAGGTTGCCAGTGCTCAGTGTTTATGGACAGGACTTTAATTCAAGAAGAATGGTGGCACACACACATCAAAAATGATTTCTTATGGGCGCGTGTGATCATCATCATCACCAGTCCATCCTAAAGGAAATCAGTTCTGAATATTCACTGGAAGGATTGATGTTGACGCTGAAACTCCAATACTTTGGCCACCTGGTGCGAAGAGCTGACTCATCTGAAAATACCCTGATGCTGGGAAAGATTGAAGGCAGGAGGAGAAGGGGACAATAGAGGATGAGATGGTTGGATGGTATCACCGACTCAATGGACATGGGTTTGGGTAAACTCCGGAAGTTGGTGATGAACAGGGAAGCCTGGCATGCTGCAGTTCATGGGGTTGCAAAGAGTCGGATACAACTGAGCGACTGAACTGAACTGATCATCACAGAGCAACAGTTTTCAAAACACAGACTTTATTGCTTGGTCTCCCCCACTCCCATTTCATTCACCCCTTTTCCTGAAATTAAAGAGTATGCCTTACAGTTAATTGATAATGTGACCTGTCACCCAGTGTTTCACCAATACCTTTTTGGCATAGAATTCATTTACTGCTTCATCTCCAAACTTTTGCTACTTATTCTAATTTCTAATTAGAACAGTAATAAATATCTTGTCCTTCGGTTGCTTTGTGAAGAGGATGGCTGTATTTGGGATGTGATTAACTTCTTTTAACTTTGATTTGACTGTTTTACCAAACAGTCCTGAAGACTTTACCTTCAAAGTCCTGAAGTTCTTGTATCACCAGAACGGTAGTGTAACCAGAGTTATTTAGCAAAAGTTGTTATAAAATGATACTCAAGAGCATTGATTCTCCAAGTAGGAACTGGGGAATTGACCTGCTGTCTTGAAGAGATAGGATCTGCATATATTCAAGGCTAAACTTAATCTGTTTGGGGTTTCCTTGATGGCTCAGCGGGTAAAGAATCCTAGATTTCCATCTAGGAATTACCCTGATCTTCACCACTTCCCTACTGGGACCATGTTGTTGTTATTCAGTCACTCAGCCCTATCCAACTCTTTGCCACCCCCGTGGGCTGTATAGCATGCCAAGGCTCCTCTGTCCATGGGATTTCCCAGGCAGGAATATTGAAGTGGGTTGCCATTTCCTCCTCCAGGGAATCTTTCCAACCCAGGGATTGAACCTGGGTCTCCCACGTCTCCTGTGTTAGCAGGCAGATTCTTTAGCACGGAGTCACCAGGGAAGGCTTAATTGGGGACCATAATGCATCCAAGTGGTGCACCGGATCCCTGAAGGGCTGGCTGAAGGGTGGACTGCTGGATCACACCCCCAGAGTTTCCAACTCAGCAGATTTGGTGACGAGCTTGCTAACTGCTTTCTCCACGAGGCCCAGGTATTCCCCTAACCGTCCTCCTAGGACTTTGGCTCTGGGGCGAGCCAGTGCCCTGTAAATTCCAAGCTTCTCCTCTCTCTCCATCCAGCTCCCTCGATGCTCCTCTGCTCAGCCTGTACTCTATGAGTCCCTCTGGTCATGTAGGGGTGAGGAGTCCATGCACATCCGTACATTTTATAGCTGATGATGGTAACTAGTAGATGCTACATGGGAAACTGAAGTTCATAACAGGTTATAGGGTAGTTGGCAAAGAGGAAAAACAGTAGACATGATCTCCAAAAGAATATAGATAAGGTGATGGAAGTAAAACTGAACGGTGTGTCATTTCCCCAAGACCGGACAGAATCAGTCCTTTATCTGCCAGTGGCTGTGGTTTGAGAATCATCACAGTTGTGTCCAGGGGTTTGGTTTCCAGTCCTCAGACTCCTCAGCCTCGTCTGACAAGACCAGTGCTTATATGTCTGTGAGCCCCTTTGAGCCCCTTTTCCTTTCCCTCCGTCACTTCCTTTTCCCAGGGGTCCTGGATGGGCTTCCTGTATAGCTTAGTCGGTAAAGCATCTGCCCGCAATGCGGGAGACCTTGGTTCAATTCCTGGGTCAGGAAGATCCCCTGGAGAAGGGAATGGCAACCCACTCCATTATTCTTGCCTGGAGAATCCCATGGACAGAGGAGCCTGGCAGGCTACAGTTCCGACAAGAGTCGGACACGACTTAGCATTATCTTTCTTTCTTTCGGGACGGACATGGGCCTGGGCTTGCTTCTCTGAAGCCGGCTCACCCCTCCTAGGCTATGGAGGGGACTGAGGGCATGCTTGGTAGACATTTTCTTTTTAATGCTTTCTTCTAACCTGTCTGTCTGTCTTTTTTCCCAGGGCAGTGATGGTGCCCGGAGATCCACGATCCTAGACAGTGACGAGCCCCTGGTGTATTTCTACGATGACGTCAGAACGTTATACGAAGGTTTCCAGAGGGGCATACAGGTGTCCAGTAAGCATCGGCCTGAATCTGTGCAACTAGTACTTCAGGTTTTCCTTTCGACCGAGGGGTCTTTCTTCAAGAAGCCATATTTGCTCACAACTCTCTCCCATTCAATCTGGTTCCCAGCTCCCTGTCTCCTCCTGTGACTTCTGCAGAGCGAGTCCCCCAGCACACAGGTCCCATCGGGTGTGGTCCATGGTCAAGGCACTTCTGAAGTCACATACGGCATGTTTCATGGAGAGTCACACATCCATTAGCTCCGTACAGGCTCTGACATTTCCTGCATAAAGAGACCTATTTAAATGGGCCTGATCCAACATTTCTCAAGCTTGCTTAACCAGGAGACCCGTATTTTGAAAAATAAACACTGATACCCAAGGAAGCAGGGTTCTATCAGAGACACTTGGGGAAGATCAGCTCACGAGACCGCCATCACTGATGGTGATGGCACCATCTCTGACGGTGGCACCAGAGACCCCGGGTACCTGGCAGCTGCCCACCCTTCCAGCCCATCTCCCTCCTGCCCCATGTGAGAAACAAAATAGAAATAAAGAAGCAAAACTCAGACCCACACCCAGGGGGAAAATGTGTCCGATCTGAATTTATTGTTTCACAGCCGAGGACCAGTTTGTGGAATGAAGGATACAAATGAGAACCTAGGAATATTTAGGCACGTTTAGCCCATCGTTTATTCTTTCATTTGTTTTCTTCTTTTAGATAATGGCCCATGTTTAGGCTCTCGGAAACCAGACCAACCCTATGAATGGCTGTCATACAAACAGGTGAGTTTTCCAGCTCTGTGGCCGCCTCATGTGAGCCATAGGGCGGGAACTTGGCAGTTCCTGGAGCCTCTGAAGGTTGGGGTGGTAGGTTTCTATGGAGTGTGGATGCTGACCTGGCCCAGGGCTTTAGAACAGATTTGCAGCATCCCAAGATGTTAAACACACAGATTTGGGGAACACTAGATCAGTAATTGAACGGGTGATTCAAAGTAGTTTATCTTAGAACTACTGTGGGTGTGTTGTGGAGTGCAGTATAAATTTTAAAATAAAATGCTAGAGGATTCTCTGGCAGTCCAGAGGTTAGGGCTCCGAGCTCTCACTGCCAAGGGCCCAGGTTCAATCCCTGGTCAAGAAACTAAGATCCCAGAAGCCATGCAGTGCAGCCAAACAAATAAATAAAATGCCATAAATGTGCTTGAAGCAGATGACTCTTTTCCCAGACCCCACGGGAGGATAAGATAACTCCTTTCTGTCTTGAGCGGTGCTGGACAAATTTAGATGCCCCAGTGTAGAGGAGCCCTCTCATTTTATAGATGAGAGAAAATGGGCCCCAGGCAGGGCTGGGACTCACCCCCGGTCACAGCTGAACCAAGGCCAGGAGGGAGGCCCATGCCATCTGTTGTAAGGAGTCTCCAAAGCATCGTACTGGTCCTGGGGTGGCCTTTAACCCGAGGGCAGCATGGAGAGCAACAGAGATGTTCAGAGATGACACCTGTATAACCAAACAAACACAGGCGGCTGGGATCTGGGCTGTTTCACTCCTGTCATTCTGGTCCCAGCAGATCCATGGCTTTTAACTGTGTTCATAGTAGTTTGTAGGTAGCAGAGCAGGAAGGCTTGCTCCTTTTTTTTTTTTTTATATCGTGATTACAAGTCTAGCTGCTCCTGACTCTCCCCAGTTCAAGGCAGCACCCCAAGACACATGGGAGCCAATGGGAGCATCCACTTTGTTGCCTTGTGCTTCCAGCGCAGCTGTCTAGAGGGGTCCCTGGAGTAGGCGCAGGATGCAGAGGACCAATCCCCCTTCTGTGGCTGGGGCTCTGGGTAGTTGATGTGTCCTGGGAAGGGGTGGGGGTGTGTGAAGTGGGTTGTTGTTAGGATCTGCAAAACCAGCCTGTGGGAAAATGCTTCCTGGCCCTCCCATATCTGAGGATCAATGAAATGCAAAAGGCAAGAGAGATAGAGGCAGAGATAAAGAGAGACAGACAAGACAGACAGCTTCGGGTTCCTTGCTTGTAGGAATCATGAGCTGTAGGTCTGGTGAGCAGAGAGACTGCTGTTTTTATTTTCCCGTAACAGAGCCAAATAGTAGTTTTCCATCGAAATAGGAGTTTTCAGATCCATCATTTTCACAAGTGGTATAAAAACAGTTCATGTTTGCTGGAGATTTAACATTGCACAATGGTCTTCAGGCCCCACAGAATCTGCCAGTGCTTCTGGGTTACATCATCTTCTTGTCATGTTACTCTTTTGTGCTGGTCTCAGCCTGTCAATAATCAGTATTGTGGCTGGGCCAGCCCTTGTAGTTCATAAGATGATTGCAAGACGCCCTTCAGCAATAACTATAAGAAACTTGGAAAAAATAAAACTTTCTTACTACAAGACTTGGAAATTACACAGCACACCTGGGCCTCACAAGTGAGGTCCCCGGTAGGGGGAGAGAGTGTGCACAGTCCCTGGGGTTTTGCTTTATCGGGGTCAATATTCTCCCGTGGGGTCTGGGCTCACTCTTATTGATGAATTTAAAGCACAAGAGCAGTAACTTAAAGCACAGGAAAAAGAAAAAACAAGTGGCCCAAATGGACAGTTATCTGCATCAACCATGATCTCTAAAACAAAGGAGGCTCGTTCAGGAGGGGACCTTATCTTTTTTGTGGCTGGCGCTGTATCAGCCTTGGAAGTGGATGCATCAGCCGTCAAAGCTTAAGGCAGGTGCTTGGACTGCCAAAAAAGAGAAAACCAAACCCCTGGGCTTTGCACTACCCTTACTTATAGTAATATGTTCCTATATAGCTTCTGTTATATGTTGACTGCCAGAAGGAAAACAGGATGCCGCTGCCAGCAGGATGTTTGAGGCAGGTTGAAAATCCCTGGGGTTTCAGAAGGTGTTTTGTACATTTCAGACAGAGACCAGTGAAGATTAAAAAGTAGACTGAAGCTAACTTTGGATTTGTGTATTTAAATGATTTTCCCCCCTAGCCCAGTGATTCTGAGCTTTGGGGGTTAGGAATCCCTGTAAAGCTTTTCAAAGAAAGTTCCGGGTCGCCTTTCTAGAGACCCAGGTGTGTGCATAGAACCCAGTAAGCTCTGCAGACCATCCAAACACTCACAGGTTCCCAGCCCTTACAAACAAGCAGGAGTTGTGAAGCAGTCCCTGGGGTATGGGAGAATAAGCATGCATGTTAACGTCATCCTTGCTGTCACCCTTACTGCCATTGGCAGAGCAAGGATGGCACCATGTGCCCGAACCAACAGGCTTCTGGAGCAGCATCAGGTGTGGTTCTGTTCTCTGCAGGCGTGGGTGTGGGTTTAAAGTGCTCATGATAATTTACCGATCGAGAATAAAGAATTCCAAATTAACATTAAAGAAAAAAAAATTTTTTTTCAGTACATTTGGGATAGGAATGAGGAGAGGATGGGAAATTGGGGTAGGTAGATAGTCTTGCCTGTTTTTACTTAGTTGTAATTAATAGTGTACATTTTATATTCATTTGTCTTAAAATTGTAACAGACACTCTTAAGTTTGATATGGTTTTCATAATTGTAGTGTTTACTAGCTATAGAGCATTTTGTTAGATTTACCGTCATCTACTTGATCATCCAGCCATTGGTCTTTTTTTCCCTTAAACTTTTATGACTTTACATAATTTTGCAATATATGTATTTGTACCTAACATCTTTTCAGACCTCCCTTTAGGACTGGATTATTTCCTGAGAACTAATTCTCAAGAATAGAGTTGTGGTGCCTAATGGTTAGAGCTCATCCTTATTTTTCAAAGGTCTCCCCCAAACTTGTCGTTTCTGTGTTTATAACAAAGGACAAGCTTCAGCTTCTTCGTTTCTCTTTATAAACACAGGCACAAAATTCTGTGTCCCTGGATCGCTTTTATAAAACTAAAGTATAAAATAAGAACTCTGACATGGGTCGTGTGTGACCTGGCAGCTATTGGCGTGAGATTCATTTGCTTCACAGAGGGAACTCTAGGGTCATTCCCCTCACCACGAGTTCTGGAAAGTCAAACCTTGAACTTTACAAAAATTTGTAACTAAAGGGATACCTGTCTACCCCTGTTCTTTCTCTCTGGGCAGAACTGCTTCTTGGCAAAGATATTAGGCTCAGCTGTCACAGAAAGCTGTATTCCTTGAGTTGGACCTGATGCTGTTCCTGATTTTTTTTCCTCCTCCACTGTAGGTTGAAGACATGTCAGAGTGTGTGGGTTCAGCACTGCTCCACAAGGGCTTCAAGGCAGCCCCAGACCAGTTCATCGGCGTCTTCGCTCAGAACAGACCTGAGGTATTAACGGTTAGGCACGGAGCAAGCAGAGCTCAGAGAATCCCCGATACAAGTCAGTTAGGGTTCACACCCGCCTTTGCTTCAGACCAGATTCTGTGGTCTGATCGCCACTAACATACCTCTTTGTTGTGCCTTAGAGAGTTACATGTATGAAAACCCAAACCAGGTCCTTCTTAGCCTTTAGGTAGGGGGGAAAATTTTTTTTTGTTTTTTTTTTTTTTAAACCAGGTCCCCACACAGAAACTGCCAAAGAAAGTCTTTGCTATACAAAGACAAGCAAATAAAAACAAATAACTAACAAAAATGTCTTCCCGCTTTAAGGACTGCCTCTGTGGTTAGAATAATAGCATTAATCAATGACAGAGAAACTTGAGTATGTTTTTGTCAGTAGCAAACTCACACCTTTTCTTTCTGAAAGGTCTAGGCTTTCCCCCTGCTCAGGTTGCTAAGTTTAGAATCTCAGGGGGCTTGGGGAAGGAGTTTCAGTAGTAGCTGGGTGTGATTTAGACAGGCAGACTGTTGTTTGGCCGTCCAAGCCTGTGCGTGGTCTTCTGTAAACCACTGTATTAAAGTACATTGAAATGAGAAGCCCCCTGGAGTTATTGTCTGCACTGTGAATAAACAAATTAGTGGCAGAGGTGGCACAGAAAAATTCAAGCACTGGACTTGAAGAAGCCACACTGACTCTTAGACCTGCTTGGATCCAAAGACATGTCGGTTTAACGTGCAACTCTTATAGTTTACAATGGTTTCTCAGCGTTTTGTGTACAGTTAGAGGAGGAATAGCATGTTCCACAGCTGGGCCACAATTAGGCTCATGGAATTTCATTTCTTTCATTTAAAGTGAAGCCCGTTTGAATGGACACATCCAAAATTTTTGTTTCAGTGGAGTATCATTAGTCATGAATCCATGACTAGGACATATATTCCTTACTTCTGGACGGAGTGGGCTTCTTCTTATATTTATCAGTTAGTTCACCAAATGTTTATTGAGAACCTACTATATTGTCAGACACTGCCAGGCACCAAAATACCACAGTGGATCTTCTTCATGAGGTACCTTGAAGACAGCCCCATAAACCCACATTTTCTCTTAATGTGTTGTGTGGACACAAAGTAGAAGGATTATGGGAGCTCAGTCAAGGAGGACTTCCTGGAGGTGGCATCCCAAGTGGAGTCTTGATGGCTGTAAGGGTGGGGAGGCCAAGGGAATGTCAGGAACATGTTTGCCTGGAGCAGTGTGTCTGTTGGGAGATGAATCATTTCATTGTGGTGATGGGTGGAGTGGCAGGAAGAGAGAGAAAACAGCTCCATGCCAAGTGAACGTGAGTAGGTTGTGCTTCCCATGGCCCTGCGCCCTTATCCATGCTGTGTGTTCTGCAGGTGATGGGCACCACTGAGGTTATAAGGGAGAGAGTAACTTTGCTGCATCTGCCTTGTAGGTGGGTCAGTTGCTGTGTGACTGATGGGTTTAGAGGAAGATGACCAGAGACCCGTGTCACTTCTTTCCTTCCTCACTTTCCTGAAGAGACTTCCATGGACAGTTCTCCCAGTAGATGGCATGTCCCTCTTCCCACAGTCCCAGGCCTTACTGCACACTGAAGCCAGATCGCTCTTCCTTGGATCTCCAGTCACTGTTTGATGGAGGAGCCCCAGAGGCAGTGTCTTGCCTAGTTCATAGATCCAGGCTGCTCTGTGACCTCAGGCTGGCTCCAGCCCTCTGTCGAGCTTAGCTGGTCCCCACAGCCCTGCTGGGCCATCCCTGCCAGCCTCAGGGCTCACGGACATCCCTCCTCCCTGCTTGGACCTCACAGTCCCTTTCCTGGAGTCCCTTGCCTTTCTCTCCCACTGTCGAAATCATGCTGCTCTTGCCAAGGGCAAGCCTGGTTACCTCTGCCACCAAGGAGGCCCACTGTGGGCTCTCTCACCTCTGAGTTCACCACCTTATTGTGTTGTTCATTCTCCTTTCACATATTTGCCCCAAATCTTTAGGCAGATTGCACTTTTTTTTTAAGTAAGAACTGGGCAAGTGTTTTGCTCATTAGGAATCCCTCCAGTGCCTGACGCATGGTAGTAGATACACAGATGTTAGTTTTGGTACATCCAGTGTTTCCACGTTGAGTCTCTAGAGTCTTGGTTTTCCTGGAGGGGTTCCATGGTGACCTCTCATATTCTCACCCCGACATCTGCTTTTTCTTTAGTGGGTGATCATTGAACAGGGATGCTTTGCTTACTCGATGGTGATCGTTCCCCTCTACGACACCCTTGGAACTGAAGCCATCACCTACATCATCAACAAAGGTATGTCTGCGGCCTTTGGGAGCATGTTCCCCTAGTTACTGGGTAGATACAGCAGCTACATTTAATGATGACATGATGGGATAGGGATTTTTCATTTAAATGTACACTTACCCTCCTATTCAAAGAAGGTAGTTCTTAAATCTGATCTCAGATGTTAGTCAAGCTTTTAATATCCCAGAGCTGGTTCCTTACTGTGTCTCTTTACTTCCAGCCGAACTCTCTCTGGTTTTTGTGGACAAGCCAGAGAAGGCCAACCTCCTACTAGAAGGCGTAGAAAATAAATTAATACCATGCCTTAAAACTATTGTTCTCATGGACTCCTACGGCAGTGATCTGCTGGAACGAGGCAAGAAGTGTGGGGTGGAGATCATCAGCATGAAAGCCTTGGAGGTGAGTCACCCTGCCCTGCCCGCTTCCCTAAACGGTTCCTCCGAGGTCATTTTGGCTCAAATGTGGTATCTTCCCAGTGGGACCACAAAGTCCCAACTCTCGCTGGTCCTGTAAAAGACAGAGAACAGATATCTGTCTCATTACTGGAAAGAAGAATTCTGCACACATTTCCAGTGCTAATCCATCACATTCTGCCCAAGTGCTGTCATCTAGCAAGTTGCAGTGCTCACAGAGTCATCCTAGAGCACTGACAAGCCCTGCTAATAAATGCTGGAAATGAGAATTTCAGATTCAAGCGAGATTTAAGTCTCTATTTAAGTATACATATTTAAGTATGTCCTCTTTAAATATTAATGCCTTTTACTTACTGATTTGTCTCTAAAACAATCAGACATAGAAATCTGCCTTATTATTCTTTTTCCAAGTCTGCTTTTTTAGGCCTCTGGTGAATTTCCAGCATAGGTGCTTGATTTGATTTATTTCCATTTTAAGATTCAGATTAATCACAGTTGTAAAGGTAACCAGTCTAGGAAAATGAGTGGGCCCATGTTTAAAATGGTTGTTCAACATTAGATCGTATTGAGTTGGCCAAAAAGTTCATTTTGGTTTTTCATAAGATCTTACAGAAAAGCTCGAGTGAACTTTTTGGCCAAGCCAATACAAGAAGCTGATGAAGCTGGTTTCTTCTGTTGCTCTTGGGTTAAAGTTCCATCCACAACAGCAGGCAAGAGGAAGCTCCTGTTATGTGCACATCGTGGGAAGTAATAGGTTCAATAGATAAGTCATTCTCTTTCTAAAAATGTTATAAATATTTTCCTGGAACTGTTATTAATAGGCTTTTGAATTTTATTTATAGTTGTCCTTCTACCAAGAATTTGAGCTCCAAGTAAGGATCTACAAAACCTTTTCTGGGGAACTTAGTAGTCACAGGGAATCTGTCATTTGTTCTAGTAGAGCTTCTGCCACACATACACACAAACAATAGCATGGGACAGGAACCTGTAAGATCTCATAGGTGTGCTGAATTGTTAAATGGCATTTTTAGCTAGTTTTTCAGCTAAAGTTTCCCTATTTTTGTTTTTTTTTTTTTTTTACTTGTAATCCCATTTCAAGATAATGTGATTTCTTTTTCTCCCATTTTTCCTCATCCTCCTACCCCTCCCCAGACACATTGACAGGCATTTTTTTTTGGGGCGGGGTCCTTTTTTTTGATTGCTATATATGATAAAGAATTAGAGATCTTAAGTTATGTAGGAATTTTTAAAAGATGCATGGAAATTTGAATCTGATAAAAGATTATTTGGGGAAGAAATTGGTGGAATTATCATTACTTTAGCTCTTAGTTGACTTCTAGTTGAATATCAGGGTCCCTGTTTTTAATTAGTGGTCAATCATACACATAATTTTAAAGTGTGAATAGGGTGTAAAATTGTATACCGGGCCGCAACTCGCTGAGCCCAGAGTGGAAGTGAAAGTGTTAGTTACTCAGTAGTGTTTGATTCTTTGTGACCCCATGGACTATAGGCTGCCAGTGTCCTCTGTGCATGGGGATTCTCCAGGCAAGAATACTGGAGTGGGCTGCCATTTCCTACTCAGGTGAACCCAGAGCCCACCCATCTGATTTCCACTTAACTCTAGGCATGCTCGTTTTCTATGCTCCCTCAAGCTGTTCAATAGGAAAATAACATAAATCGTTCATTCAAAAAATAATAGGTATTAAGGTGACCGTGGAGACACCTTCATGCAGTAACATTAGAATGAGCCCTGGGTATTAACAGAATTCTCTTTGAGAGGCCACACCTCAGAATTGAATCTGTCGTTCTTAACCCTCAAGGCCCTTTGACGGTGGTCCCGGAGCTTCTGTTGTGGCCTGATCTGTAATCAAAGATGCCTAAGTCCTTTCTCCCCTCCACGCGGGGAACTGCAGATGTTTGAGCCTTTCCAGAATGGTCAGTGTTTAAATCTGGTGGAGACTGGTTTCTCTCTCCAGACCGAAGATGTCAGTTTTGTAGAACCGGTGATCATGGATCAGTGCTGAGTTCTGGTTCTGGGAGTGCGCAGAGCAGCTGCGGTTCTCTGATTACTGTGAAGAGCTGGGCTTTGTTAAAGGCCATGATAGGAATGGCAGTGGAAACTGGAATTGCAGGTAAGAGACTCAGTCCTGTTTCCAAGGCCAGTCCTAAGGCCATCGATATACTATTATATATACTTTTATATAAGAGAGAAGACAACCAGAAAACGGATTCTTGAAACAATGGGTAAGTATTTGGTTTCAGGTTAAATTGCTGTCATTTATGTAATTTGAAATTTGTGCTGTCTTTGTGTTGGCTGGGAGTGAATCAATCCCACAGAAAAGTCAGCTTGCACTGACTTGACGTGACTTAAATGTTTCCATTTCAGTTTTTTTTTTCTCTTCTTTTTAAGGACCTGGGAAGAGCCAACAGACGGAAGCCCAAGGTGAGCACACCCTGTCTGACCAGCCCAGCCTCTGCCCAGCTTCCATGTCTAATCAGTTCAGACACTGGTAGAAATATTGGGTGATAACAACTTAGAGTTTTCTGTTCTATTCTGATTTGTACTGGCTTTTTTTTTTTTGTCTGTGTGTGTGTTGTAGCCTCCAGCACCTGAAGATCTTGCAGTAATTTGCTTCACCAGTGGAACTACAGGTCAGTTTTGAAAAGAGATTGTTTCTAAGTGGTGCCTAGAAGTGTATATTTCCTGCTTCCTCTTGTGGATGACTTACTCAGATTGTAAATGGACTGGATGCAGAAGAGACAGAAGTGTTCAAGCCTATCTTCCAGTAGCTCTATACAACGTCCCCAGAATATGAGTGTATCCTCAACACACTTACGTCACCCTTCTTTCTGGGATAAACTGTATCCATGGTTTCCAGAAATAAAATTCCTGGATTTTCGTCTCTTATTGCTACACACACCCTCTAAGACTTGCCCATATTAGTAAAGATGGTTTAACACATTATTGACCCAGGGGTTTTTCCAGAAACTAACGCCTGTGGCTGGCAATTTGTTATGTAAGTGAATGTTGAACTGTCTCAGTCAATAACGTTCAGGTAACAAAAGACGTATTAATGCGTTTTAGGTCAACAAGTTGTTAAGATAATAAGCTTCAGTTAAAGTATTACAGGTTGCTCAGGAATTCAGTGTGACTCAGCATTTGGCTTTCACGGGTATACCTCACATGAGAGGCATCGGGGGCCCTAATGATGTGGGGTTTCTGGGCTTCTCTCAAATCCACCATTCTTGGATGGAATTTCTGTCTTCTAACTTTATTTCGCTCATATGTGTCCCCAGGCAACCCCAAAGGAGCAATGATTACCCATCGAAATGTAGTGAGCGATTGTTCAGCGTTTGTGAAAATGACAGAGGTAAACTTTTGGGAGAGGGCCATCTTTCCGTGTTTCCAGTGGTTGGCATCAGGTCTCAAGGATGAAGGTGGTCACGGCCCCACCATCATGTTAGGCCTGGACTGTATTAAAAGCAGTACCTGAAATATAAACAAGGTCTGAGCTTTCACAGGGTCTGAGGTCACGTCCTCTCAAGTAGTTTTTCACTATGGACCTGATCCCCAACTCCTGCTGTGACCATTAACGTGAATTGACAGATCGAATTTATTACATCTTTTATTTAGTAAAACTTCATTTAGATACTGCCTTATAAATGTTTTTGGAGAAGGAAATAGCAACCCACTCCAATATTCTTGCCTGGAGAATCCCATGGACTGAGGAGCCTGGTGGGCTACAGTCCACAGGGTCACAAAGAGTCGGACACAACTGAGCGACTTCACTTTCACTTTATAAATGTTTTTAGGAAAGGACAGAGAAAAACTGACTCTTGTGATTTTATCTCCTGTTTCAGTGTGTGGAAAATAATTTCTTTAGGTGGACAAGGAAATGTTAAATGTTGCTGAATGTTTTTTGAATTATTACTGTTTTTACTGTTTACTATGCTTACTTTGACTTCTACTTTATAAGAAGGATTAAATCCTTGAACTTTAGATCAAGTAACTTTATAGTTATTTCTAATACTTCTAAAACTTGCTGTATAAGTGTCTTAGTCTGTGTGTGCTGCCGTAACAAAATAGCACAGATTGGGTGGGTTGGCTTAAAGAATAGACATGTATTTTCTTACAGTACTGGAGGCTAGAAGTCCATGATCAAGGTGTCAGCAAATTTGCTTGGTTCTGGAGAAGACTCTCTTCCTGGCTTGTAGCTGGCCAGCTCCTCTCCATGCCCCCCTGCCCTGGCCTCTGTGTGCACGTGGAGAACAGAGACAGGTTTCCGGTGTCTTCTGTCCTTACAAGGACACCAGCCTGATTGGATCAGGGCCCCACCCTTATGACTTCATTGGACCCGAATGACCTTCCCTGTCTCCAAACACAGTCATGTGGAGCGGGGTGGTTAGGGCTTTAAATACGACTTTGAGAGGGGTAGTTACAGTCAGTCTGTAGCACCAAAGATCTATTTCCAACTTGTCTTTTAAAAAAGTATGTATTGAATAATGTAATGAATACCTTTCCGTCGTATCCTTTGCACATTTTTTCATAATTTGCTTTTGCAAATTATGTGTCTCTGGAGGGGTTCTCTAGGGTCTGCTTTTTGTGGTAGGAGCCTGTGCTTAATGGTTTTGGGGAATGGGTATCTTCAGCAACTGCATAAGTGTGTTCTTACACCTTCCTAGTCCTTTTGGTATATACTTTCTAAACAGAGTTCAACATTTAGTACTTTACCAAAGGGAGATTTTCATTTCCTCGTTGGCCTTCAAAGAAAACTTAAAATGCATGAATCATTAAGGCAAATGATTACAGTTAATGTGAACATCATCGGGGGCATTCTCAACTTTGTAAAACTTCGAATTATGCAAATGTACATTATTTGTTTGACCTAAATCAGAAAATTGAAGAGTATAGATGTTATTGAGTCTGATTTCTCATTATGTAGCACTTTTCTACTGACAGGTACCAGTTGGGAAGCAGGAATAAATTTAATCTCAGATTATGGCATGATCAGGCTACATCACGTGTGATTGCTTTATTATGAAGGATGGCCCAGCCTTGGGGAGGGGAGAGCCCAACTCTAAGCTGGGTGCATCATCCCTAGGCAACTTGACAAAGCCTTGATTTCTTAGTTGGTGGGGCAGCTGCTGTTGGCAGCCCCTTTTTAGGCCAGAATTCTCTATATTAATAGCAGGAACATTTCATGCACATCCCTAACTGTGCCTGACCATAAATTAAGCTCATTCTTAGCCATGAAATGGAAACCAGATGTTACTAGGGATGCAGACCTGTCATGATCAGCATTTTATGGGAGAACAAATTCCCTGGGGCCAGTTCAGAGCTTGCATTAAACACATTGGGATTTTTTTTTTATGGGGTTGAGTAGGGCTTTAAGGTAAAAATGTTGATCAAACTAAAATGCTCAAAATACATTTGTACTGTAAATAAAAGGAACATGGAAATCTCCAAGTTTCTCTTCTTTTCTCCCCTATGCCCTTGATAACAAAAGATGCTGGTCTTTTCCTGGAGTGAAGCTTATATTTCTTAAGGTGGAGTGGAGCTTGCTGGGCAGTGAGGTCCTGTGGCTTTGAAAGTCTGGGTGCTTAGAGCACATGATATCTGACCATCCCAATGTGGGCCACATTTTCCTAATTGTGACTCAAGTTCTGCATGGATTTACTTTGTCATTAGGAATGACCTCTACTCTATTTGAATAACTTATTAAAGTATTGCTTAGCATTTCCTTTTTCAATGAGAAATAATTGCAGAATGTAAACTAATGCTGTTACTTCTTAGCCTTGAGGTATTATGTGCTCTGAAATAAATGGAGAATTCCTGCAAATTCTAATGCTTTTCTGCCCACTGGTGTCTTTGCTTGCAGAACACGTTCACTCCTACCTCAGATGACACTTTGATCTCTTTCTTGCCTCTGGCCCACATGTTTGAGAGGGTTGTAGAGGTAGGCACTGGGTTTTATTTTGCCTGTACATGGGCGTTTGTTTGTGTTCTAAGTTGTTCTGTTTTACAGAAAGCACTTGTGTTGAATGCCAGTGACATACACATTTCATTTTTACCGCTTGCACACATGTATGAGCAGATTATGCAGGTAAGTTCAAGTGTGTATACCATCCTCCCCCTAGGCAGGTCTTTGCTCAACCCCCGTTTTAGAAATTGAGCTAATTATTTAAGAGTATAATTTTTTCCTGGGTCCGTGTATTAAACTTTAATACTCATTTTAAAATTAGAAGCTCAAACTTTTGAAGGACACAGATATGAATTCAGAAAGATGAGCTGTGAATGTAGAATTTTTATGAATAGCATCCTACAAAGCCTGGTGAGGCTTGAGTTCTGTAAGATGGCTCTGTCTCTCTCTCTCTCTCTTTTTTTTTTTTTGGCCATGCTGAGCAGCTTGTGGGATCTTAGGTCCCTGACCAGAGGTCACACCTGTGGCCCCCTGCTTTGGAAGCATGAAGTTCTAACCACTAGACTTCCAAGAAAGTCCCAGAACTTTTATTTTTGAATGTGCTTATCTATAAGGCACAAGTTGACTTCAGATACATATTTTTTTTTCACCACTATCCTGAGTGCCCTTGGCAAAGTGGATGACCTTAAGCCAGGTTCTCCTTGAGCTGCTCACACACAGCTGTGTGACTCATTTAAAAGCTGACCAAGAACCGTCTGTTCTTCCTTCTTGGACAGTTTTGCTTTGTATGCTTATGGGAGAAACATTGCGCACTGCTCGTTCGTTTAATGACTATTCGTGAAGCACCAGCGGTGTTTCAGGCACTGGACAGGTACTGGCGGGTGAGGGGCTGATAAAGACTCTGCGCTTTGACTCGCTGCTGCCCTGGAGGATTTACTTCTCCCAAAGGACCAAGGATCTGCCAGCCGATACTTCTGTTTCCTGCACGCCTCGGGAGATGTTGCGCGAGTGTAGAGTGACCACAGATGTGTTGACAGTGAACTGTAGTTACCTCCCTAGTTTTCAGTACCCAGGAGTCAGTCCACACTGAACAAAGCCTCTGAGCTTTAATTTTTAAACAATGAACCAGGGTGTACCTTTCTAAAGTGGTTTCTGCTTTCAAGCCTGAGGTCGTTTGTACTTCCGTTGCATCATCCCTTGAATCTCTCTGTCTTTTTAACATTTAAAACAGGCAGACTCTTTGTCAAGTGCCCATTACCTGCCAGTGCAGCTTGCATCAGACAGGAGGAAATTCAGGCACTAGGTTATAACCGAAGGCAGACTGCTCTGTGCATTCTCAATGGCAGCGTATTCTGATGACTCAGATTTTTTTTAGTTAGATACAAACAGGAAAAGCGAGACTTTAAAAGCTTGGACTGGGGCTTCTCTGGTGGCTCAGTGGTAAGGAATCCGCCTGCCAATGCAGGAGACGGAGGTTCGATCCCTGATCTGGGAAGATCCCATGTGCTGTGGAGCAGCTAAGCCCGTGCCCTGCGACTACTGAGCCTGTGCTCCGCCAACAAGAGAAGCCACTGCAGTGAGAAACCCAAGCACCCCAACTCGAGAAAAGCCCCCACTCACGACAGCTAGAGGAAAGCTACATGGCAGCGAAGACCCAGCTCAGCCATAAATACATAAACAAACATTATTTAAAAAACTTGAACTGTAGGCAAGTAGCTAAGTTTTTATTATGGGATAAATTGGACCTAAATTTTCTGGAAGGCTAAAAATAACTTGGGTTATCTGATACCATGTCCTTCATTTGGCAAATACTGATCCTGAAGCTAAAACAGCAGAACCTCTAAGATCATCACTAAAAACCACATTCCCTGGTTGCCGATTAGCTAGCTCCTCTATCTTCAGGATGACCAGGAGTAGTGCAACAGCCCCCTGTTGTGCAAGGACCCCTAAAACACAAGAATGCTGTTTCATTTTTTATTTTGTTTTATTTTTGGCCATGCCATGTGGCATGTGGGATCTTAGTTCCCTGACCAGGGATCCAACCTGCAGCCCCTGCATTGGAAGCTCATGATCTTAACCACTGGACCTCCAGGAGAATCCCAAGAACGTTGTTTTGAAAGCTCCCTACATTTAGGAACTTTATGATTTCTGAAAACTGGCCTGAAATGCTAAAAGCAAAGCCTTGTGTGTCTGTGTGTGTTGTGTAACCCCCACTGCAATGATGACACAATTAGATATTTCTGTTTACCTCTCTAGTGTGTGATGCTCTGTCATGGAGCTAAAATAGGATTTTTCCAAGGAGATATCAGGCTGCTTATGGATGATCTCAAGGCCCTTCAACCCACCATCTTCCCTGTGGTCCCCAGACTGCTGAACCGGATGTTTGACCGAGTAAGTGCCAGGGGCAGAGAGTGGGATCTTGAACCCCAAATTCTCCGTGAACACGGCAGCTGCTCTTAGACTCGTGAGACTGCGGCTTAGTCCGCTGTTACACCGGAGTCTGTTTGCCTCCCAGAGCTGCGGGTGAGGATTATAAGAGAAAGCACTGTGAACGTGCCTTATAAATCAGAAGGCACAATACAGATGTGAGGTGGAGGTTGCTTTATTTTCACAATAAACTCTTTGAACCTCCGTCTCCTCACCCTTACAATGGACTGTTACCTCCTCCTTCATCTCATAAAGTTGCTAATTACATCACATGAAAATAATAGCTATCAAATTATTTTATTGGGCTTCCCAGGTGGCTCAGATGGTAAACAGTCTGCCTGCAACGCTGGAGACCCAGATTTGATCCCTGGGTCAGGAAGATCCCCTGGAGGAGAAAATGGCAACCCACTCCAGTAATCCTGCCTGGAGAATCCCATGGAGAGAGGAGCCTGGCAGGCTATAGTCTATGGGGTCTCAAAAGAGTCAGACATGACTAAGCAACTAATGCTTCCACTTTTATACTATTGTCTAGCATAACAAGAGAGTGGAAAAGCTGGCTTAACACTCAACAAACAAAAAATGAAAATAATGAAAATAATAACTATGAAATGATTTTATAAATTGTAAAGTTCCTCCTGTGTGTAAAAATGCTACCTACTCAGTAGCCACGTTGGGAGACGTGACTAAGCCAAGCCCGGGACCAAGAGAAGGTGGTGGGCTGTTGGAGCATGGGCCCACAGCCAGGGCAGGACTGGCTGACCCGTGTGGTGGGAGCAGTCTCCACGATGGGTTTGCATGGGGCAGTTTTAATGCTCTTCATGTTGAAGCATGGCTTTTGTCATCTATGAGAACCTTCTCATTTTTTTACATTTTTGTTTTCCTGCCAGCTAATACTTTCCAGTTTCCCTGGGAGACCTTAAGGTTTTAGCTTCTGTTAATCTTTTGTGGTGTGGTGGTTTAGTCACTCCATTGTGTCTGACTCTTTACGACCCCATGGACCGTAGCCTGCCAGGCTCCTCTGTCCATGGGATTTCCCAGGTAAGAATACTGGAGTGGGTTGCCATGTCCTCCAGGGTATCTTCCCAACCCAGGTGTTGAACCCACGTCACCTGCATTGTAGGCATATTCTTCTTTCTCTCTTTTTTTTAATGGTTCTTTTTTTTTTTTTTAAAGAAAATCGTAAGGCAGCCTTATTGAGATATAATTCACATTACATATGATTCACCCATTTAAGTGTTTTTAGTGCAATTCAAAGGTTTTTAGTACGTTCACAGAGTTCTGAAACTATCATTAAAGTCCATTTTAGAACATTTGTATCACTTCAGAAAGAATGTGGTATCCTCCTCCACCCCACTACCTCCCTCTACCCCATAAAATGAATCTACTTCCTAAACCTATAAATTTCCCTATTCTGGATTTTGAAATGAGTGGGATCACGGAATATTCTTTTGTGACTGGCTTCTTCCACTTAAGTATGCTTTCCAGGTGCATACATGTCATAGCCTACATCCATACTTTGTTCCTTTTAATGTCCAAATAATATTCCACTGCGTGGATACAACATGTTTTATTTGTCTGTCCAGCCACTGATGGTCAACGGGGTTGTTTCTTCTTCTTGGCTGTTGTGAATAACGCTGCTATGATGTTCACGCACAGGCAAGGGGCGCTATGGACGTGTGTTTTCATTATCTTAGGTGTGTGCCCAGGAGCAGAACTACTGGGTCATGACTAACTCTGTGTTTAATTGAGGAATCACCAGTCTGTTTTCTAAAGCAGCTGAACCATTTTATATCCCTGCCAGCAAGGCGTGAAGGTTCCAGTTTCTCCATATCTTTGCCAACACTTGTTGTTACCTGACATTTTAATTCTTGCCATTCTGCTCATTGGGAAACCTTCTCATCTCTTGACTCATTAGATTTTCGGACAAGCAAACACCACGCTGAAGCGATGGCTGTTGGACTTTGCCTCCAAGAGGAAAGAGGCTGAACTTCGCAGTGGAATCATTAGAAACAACAGCCTCTGGGATAAACTGATCTTCCACAAAATACAGGTAGCACATTGACTTTCAACTGTTGCTTGTCACCTAAACTAATTTGGCTTGCAAACTTTCTGTGAGGGCTCCTTTTTTTAATTGAATACTTGATGTACAATTTTATATAAGTGACAGGCATACAATATAGTGACTCACAATTTTTAAAGAGAATGTTCCATTTATTGTTATTATAAAATATTGGCTATATTCTCCCAATATATCCTTGTGCAATAAATCCTTGTAGCTTATTTTATACCTAGTCGTTTGTACCTTTTAATCCCCTACCCCTTTATTGTGTGAGAGCTCTTTTTAAAAGAGAAGGTCAGAGAGAAAGAGAATTTCTGGCATATTTCTTAAAACTAAGGACAAAGCCATCAGCAAAACCTCAGTGTCCAAGAAAAATCTAAACAGTGTTTTGCTATCCGGGGCAGAAAAGGGATCAGGTAGCATAGCCTTTCTGATTCTCCATCCTGTTTTACTTTTCTGGAACTCTTGAGGTTATTTTTTTAGACGTGAGTGATAAAGAGTGGAATAATATGGAATAATAATAATAATATAGAATAATAGTGTTCCCCAAAATGTGATGGTTGCCACAAACCCAAGACACTCTTGTTCTAATTCCTTAAAACACCTGTGAGTGTAGAGGTGTTGCTTTGCTGTCCACAGCCATTGAGAGCGAGTGGCGTGGTTTTGGGTGGAACCAAACTCATCGGGTGTCCCTTTTGGAGCGCTTGTGTGTGCTCGTGTGGAATGAGTTCTGTGCAGCCCGCCGACCAGGAGCTGGTGGGCTAAGGCATCGGGGTTCCAAGGAGGAGGAATCTTGGAGAAGCCCACCGCTTTCCAGCCACTTACCCTCACCCTCTCCCCTCTTCCTGCCTTCCAAGGCGAGCCTGGGAGGAAAAGTGAGGCTGATGATCACCGGAGCGGCGCCCGTGTCCGCCACCGTGCTCACCTTCTTGAGGGCCGCGCTGGGCTGCCAGGTGAGGGGCTCCCTGCCACTCGGGGTCTCAGACTGACTCACGCCCATGTGGCTGCTTTCCAAAAGGCTGTCTTCTTCTCCTGCACGTGCCCCTTCTTTTCTTCGGACGTGTTATTCCCGGGTGGCTTGGAGAAAGAAGTACATGCATGGCTTGGAGATGCTGCAGTTCCAGAGCAGTGCAGTAAAGCCAGTGTCACAGCAGAGCGAGTCTCCTGAACTCTTTGGTCTCCCAGGAGATATAAAAGCCCTGTCTACACCAGACTGTAGTCTGTTAAGTGTGCAGTAGCATGATGTCCAAAAAACAAGGCATTGTATATACCTTAATTTGAAAATACTTCATTGCTAAAAAACACTAACCATCCTCTGACAACACAGCATTGCCACCAACCTTCAATCTGTAAGACAGGCAGTCTCTGCAAAGCGCCATAAAACGAGGTGTGCGTGCATGTGTCTTTTACCTCTGGCAGAATATGTGTTGTGTCCACCACGGGTAATTTTCCCTGGGGTAAGACACAAAAGATGCCTTTAGATCAGGTGTGAGGGCGTGGGGATGGGTTATAAACCACGCAGAGACCCCGACTCATGTGGGGGGAGCACCAGAGACTGGGTGACAAGTGCTGTGAGCCCACAGAGCGAGTGCGTGCCGGGGTGGGTCCTGCGAAGTCTGACCTGTGACGGCATTGTCTCCTGTGTATGTGAAGATGCCCGTGCTATAATAGAGCATGTCGCCACGTGTGGGCTGAGGCTCCCAGTTGAGCTGGAGGAGCTTAGTTACTGAGCACTTGCAGTGGGAGTGTGACTGTCCCCTCTTTCTGCCCCTTCGCCTGGGGACCCAGTTCTACGAAGGCTACGGACAGACCGAGTGCGCCGCCGGCTGCTGCCTGACTGTTGCTGGGGACTGGACCGCAGGTACAGGGCCGGGGCTTTGCTCACGAGGGTCTTACTCTTCACATTGAAATTGGGTTAATTACCCAACTTAAACAACTGCTGTGTCTCCGATGATTCGGCCTTGGGGCCAACCACCCTGTGAACCCGGGAGCCCTGTGGATGCTGTCTCCTGGGGTGCAGTGGTGATTTGGAGGCTCTGACTTGTCAGGCTGGGTGGGTGGCGATAACAGTTACTGAAGACGCTGCCCTTTATGCCAGGTTCAGAGTGCTTGGCCCACCAGAGCTTTCCGAGAATTGCTTGGGGCCTGATTACTTGCTGGTGAATTTTAATGACATTTCCACTGTGTGCTGCAGTTGGTGTTGAGACCCCAGGCAGATATAAACACAAGTCCTTTTTCCTGAAAGGAAAAAACAGTGGAGGATAAACACAAGTACCTGTTCTGGATGGGGTTCTGTGTTAGGTACTGAGGGATGCATATTACGTGCATTTCATCCCAACAACATGCCTGTGAGGTCAGCCTCTGGGAGGACATGATTGATTGTTGACTAAGAAGCATAAAGTCTAAGAATTTATATAGCTTTATGCTTCGGAGCCAGGATTCCAGCCCAGGTCTGACCCCAAGACTTGTATGCCTCCTCTGTCCCATACCAGCAGTGTATGCTACACCATGATCAATAAATTCCCTGGTATATTTGCTGTTTTACATGTTTGAGTATCTAGCGACACAGATTCTAATATCAGGCTCTCTCTGGGAACATCATTCTGTTGCAGTTGGCACTGATGGTCTATAAACCTTTTTCACAGTACTTATTTTTTAATCCCTGGTGCCTTACCAGCTAGAGAATTTGGAATAGTGACCACTTTAAGCTAAAATGATCAAAACATCCAAAGAATGATTTGTGACAATCTTAAAACTTAATCTGATTTCTGTTATTTTTTGTTTTGGGAAAATAACCCAGTCCTAGCTCCCTTTTGCAGGAGAGTAAAGTGAGCTGTAAAAAGAAGGCTTGTCCTGTCTTAATGAATTTACATATAAGACATGTTCTTTCATAATCTAAGGGAAAAGGCCATATTGGTCAGAACCATCTGACCAATCAAGGTTTGCTCTCACAGAGAATGCAGATATTAATTACATCTGTATGAGGGAGAGCAGGGCCATCAGATCATAGGAACCACATAAAAGTTTTAGAAAACCCACTTCTGGGTGTTCAAAGAAACCCTAGAATCAGCAGCCAAATCATTTACACTTTGAAAAGTAATTTGGAGCATCAAACTTAGGAAAGGTCCCTAAGAGACTTTTGAATATTTCTCTCTCTTTTCTGGGAATAAACTCTCTAATTTGCCAGGGGGAGACAAGCTGTGTTTGTCTGCACCAGCTGTTCTCAGCCTGAGAACAGGTCTTGTTTGGGATCAAAGCAATCTGGCCTGAGGATATTGGTCGTCACATTAGGAGTAATCATTCTTTGATTTGATACACAGGCCATGTTGGTGCCCCAATGCCTTGCAGCATTATCAAGCTTGTTGATGTAGAAGAAATGAATTACCTGGCTGCCAAGGGTGAGGGCGAGGTGAGTAAAACCCCACAGTCACCCTCTCAGGGCAGTCGTCTCCGGTAACCAGCCACTTCTGTAACCAGCCACTTCTCAGCACCAGGGCAGGTGAGGCCACTGATCTTGGTATTGCTGCTGATCCTACAGTCACACAGGCTTCTTTCTGAAGGTACATATGTCTGAGTCTCAGGCAGTGGGGGCGTGGGGGGCACCAGCAACGCCTTCTGCCGCCAGCACGATGGGGCCGGGGGCCCAGGAGGGCAGAAAGGCTTCAGGGCCCAGAGTCCCTGGCCACGGCTTCCTGTCTGCTGACCGCCCTCACTGCCTGTTAGTGACCACCGGCTAGTGGAAGGTGTGCCCGACTGCTGTGTGGCTTCATCCCCTTTGGGGCTTTCTGGCAGCTTGGAGCCAGAACCTAGGGTGATTGTGAGCCCTATAATTTGCAGCCAAAGACGTTCAGGAAGGAACTGGGGGCATTGGAGGTACCAGCACAACGTCAGTGGGGTTCTGCTGGCTCCCTCTGGATCCTGGCATTCAGAGTCTGGCTAAAGGTTGAGGGAGACACACACACAGACACAGATACCCAGACACACACACTCACAGACACACGGTTTTCTCTGGAGACGTCCCAGTCAGTGCTCTTAACAGATCATCTTTTATTCCCCCTCCCGTCTTACTGAGATAGAATTAACTCACATATATTGTGAAATGATCACGGCCGTGGGTTTCGTAACCATCCATCATCTCATACCAGTAACAAAAAGAAGAAAAGTGATTTTTTTTTCCCCCTTGTGATGAGAACTCTTAAGATCTCCTTTCTTAACAACTTGAAAATACATCCCACGCGGCCATGTTAAGTGTAGCTGCCGTGCTGTACGTGACATCCCCGGTCCTTACTTATCTTGTAACTGGATGTTTGTACCTTTCACCCACTTCTTCCAATTCCCATGGCCAACTCCCTCGCCCTCTTTTTCCTTCAGGTGTGTGTGAAAGGGCCAAACGTTTTTCAAGGCTACTTGAAAGACCCAGTGAAGACGGCAGAAGTTCTGGATAAAGATGGCTGGTTGCACACAGGGGACATTGGCAAGTGGTTACCAGTAAGTGGTCCCCGCCCTTGCGGGAAGACGAGCCCCCACGCGGCCACGGTGCCCTGACTCTCCCCCCTCTTTCTCCCTCCCTTCCTCTCCCGCAGGAAACGGGCTTACGTTTAGCATCCTCCTGTAGCATTTTCACTGTAACTGCAGCACATAGGTTTTGTTTTGATCCCTGACATCCTTTCTGGTTGCTGCTTCTGGTTTGAAATCCAGAAGCACTGTGACTGGCTTTTCCCATTTCGGTGCTGTGCCTCGAAGTTGGGGCCTTAGTTCATTTTGGGGTCGGGGGGAGGGTGCTGTATAAAAGCTGCTGGGAATGGATGACAGGTCAGAATTTGTGAACACACACGTTTCTTAGCATTGTCATCTCAGTAAGAACGGGATAAGTGTTTAGAGGTTGAGGCCAAGCCCTTTGAGTGTAGCCTCAGAACTGTTTACCGTAGAGAAATTCAGAGTCCATCTCAGGGGTCGAGACGCTGTTCCGAGAAGCCGACCCATAGGTGTCGCCACTTTTGCTGTTGCAGTGACAGCCACAGCTTTTCAAAGTCATTACTGATTTTCACTGCAAGCACTCAGATGGCTAGCGTAATGATTATTATTGTGTATTGTTCAAGTCTTACCGATTTAAGGTGCTTAATTGTTTTTTTGCCTGAGAAAATATCCCCACCCCAAATTAATTCAAATTTCAGAATACCCAGGCTATTTAGAAATAAATCAAGTCCCTCTTTGCAGACTCAGGAGGGATTAAGTATCCGTTCCAATTCTGACTCTGGCTCTGAGGAGCCCATCTCCTAATCTCCCTGGACCTTAGTCCACTCCCTTTAGAAACGGAGGAGAACTGTTGCAGGCTGAGAGAGCCCCGGGCGCTTTGCAGCAGATGACTCTGGGAAGTGAGAGAGTGACCCGGGGTGGGAATGGGGCTTCGGGTTACCAGAGGCGGGGAGGTAGGCACCACTGACGTTTTTGAGTCTGGCCCAGAGATTCTCGCGTCCCCACAGTCATCACGGGGGTGGCCAGCAGCCCCCACCCGGAGAGCTGAGAGCAGCCCCCTCCTGCCCCTGCCTGGAGCAGGGACAGAGGGCCGTGAGCTGTCCTCCGCAGCGCCCGCTGCACCCCGAGCACCCACCGTGGGGAGGATGAGTGCGCCTCTTCTCGCGGGGACCTTGACCCCATCTCGGGCCCCTGTCACACAGGGTGAAGCTCACCAAGCTGAAGGGAGCAGGCAGGACGCTCTAGCTGGCTGGAAGGAGGAAGTGGAGTGAGAGGGACTCCCTCATCCCTTCTCTGTCTCACTACTCAGCCTGGGGAGGTTACCTAATCTCTGTCAGCCTCAGTTTGTTTCTCTGTAAAATGGGTTAACAGCTGACCCCTGCCAGACCTTATTAGGATTAAGCAATAGTGCACAGGAAATGCTCAGTACCCTGTTTGGCCACTGCTGGGGAGGGAAACAGACCCTGAGACCGGCTCACAGCCCACACCTCCCCTCCGCACACCCAAACAGAATGGCACCTTGAAGATCATAGACAGGAAGAAGCACATCTTTAAACTGGCACAAGGGGAGTACATAGCTCCTGAGAAGATCGAAAACATCTACCAGCGAAGTGAACCTGTCTCTCAGGTGTTTGTCCATGGAGAGAGCCTGCAGGTATGTGCTGCCCGAGACAGAAGCTCTATGGCCGGTGGGACACATGTGTGCCTATAGCTGGTTTATATTCATTGCAAAAGGCATCACAATATCCTAAGACGTCCAGGTACTTTCAGTGTAATGGGAAGTTTGCCACGTGTGTGAATTGACTTTCTGACTCTCTGACTTTGATGCCTGACTTGCTAGAACATAATCGACACGTTATTGGGTTTTGCTGCTTGGCATTTCTTTTTTTTTTGTTTTCTCCCCCTATCTATTTTGTAACTAGAAATTTGTGCCTCTTACTCTTAGCAGTTCTTAGTCTGCTGTACCAAGGGAAGTGGTGTAAAAATACTGGGGGATAGGTAAAATAAACTTCTAATTTAATTATGAGGAGAAATATTGATACATGGGTTATAAGAAAGCTTAGAATTTTCAGACATATTAAACCTAACTTATTTATGGTATACCTTCTGCATCATTCTTGGGCAAATGATGGTTTGGAAGCCAGCATATCTTAAAGTTGAAAACCAATGTCAGTATTGCAATGGAACCTCATTTCCCAAAATTCTGGACAGATGGTGGAAAGGAAGAGAATGGGTTCTAGTTTTCTGAGGGTTAATATTTCTACAAATCAGAGGGGACACATGTATGCCTAGAGCTGGTTCATATTCATTGCAAAAAGCATCACAATATTATAAAGTAATTGTCCTCCTATTTAAATAAATTTAAAAATATTTCTACAAATCTTGAAATTTTCAAATAATTGTGGCAGAATATTTTCTTATAAGAAAATACACCCATCTTTCTTTGAGAATGCACTGCATCTTCTTAGACCTGGAATCTTACTATGCCTTTGATTTTTATTTCATTTCATTGTCACTCAATTGTAAAGAATGAGGTGCTAGAGTTCTTCCTAAAGTGAATCTGTATATATTTTCTTTTTTTGTTTTTATAAAGCAGTTATCTGATATCTATCCCATTATTTGCTTATTTGACCCTATTTTATTTTTAAAAGTATATATAAAAATAAGTAAAAGCTAGGGTTTTATTAGATTTTGATTTCCAGTGGTTCTTTTAAAACATTTATTGCAAAATTCCCGATGCTGTCTATATTTCAGAGGCAGAAGCTGTTAACCTGGGCCCTGTGGACGCCAGGGCTGGTAACATGCTCTGAAGAGAGGGTCTCTAACTCCCAGATTCTCCCAGGGGCCCACGAAGCAGATAATAAGGAGGTACAATTTTAGAGCATCTGGACCAAACTGTGTAGTAACTCACTTGTCTCTGTTAAAGGCATTTCTCATAGCGATTGTGGTACCGGACGTTGAGACACTAGGTGCCTGGGCCAAGAAGAGAGGCATTGTGGGCTCCTTTGAAGAACTGTGCAGAAATAAGGTAGGTTCCAAAGTGTGCAGCTGTCCTCCTGAGCTTCCCTTTGCTTTAAGTGCAAAGTACAGGGACCCCTGGCCTCTGCGGCCCCTGAACCCACCACAGGAATAAGGATCTTGTTTTTCTTACCTTATTAGGATGTCAAAAAAGCTATTCTAGAAGACCTGGTGAGGCTCGGGAAGGAATCTGGCCTAAAACCATTTGAACAGGTAAGACTCGCATCCAAGTGTATGAATTCCCAAAAAACGGGTTTTTGACTTGAGGGTATTTTTTGTGAACAAGTTCTAGAAGAGGATGAGGTGATGTAAAGACATCGTGTGGAAGAGACAGTGGTGTGGTTTGGCTGGGGAGGGATTTCTATAACCAGGAGGGTGTATCCTCTTCTGGGGGTTGGGGGTGGGGGCAGCTGCGGTCCCAATTCTGTCCTGACATCGGGCCACTGTCTGCCCTGTGTTGAGACAGCACAGCTGGGCCTGGCCTGTGAAGCTGGCTGGAATGGCCCAGAAGGGTCTTCATCCCTGCAGAGGCATCTGTCCTCCTTTCCTCCTTTGACTTCCTGGTCTCTTTACAGGTCAAAGGCATCTGTCTCCACCCTGAACTCTTCTCTATCGACAATGGCCTTCTGACCCCAACCATGAAGGCTAAAAGGCCAGAGCTTCGGAATTACTTCAGGTCACAGATCGATGAGCTTTACTCCACCATCAAAGTCTAACGCGAGGGAGGAAGTGGAGGGGAGTTTGACAACGGCAGGATGGAAGGCGCATCCTCGGGTGCCTCGTGCGTCCAGATTCTCGTCATAGGAGCCTGGAGGGAACGGAATACTGCCTTACAGCCCCCTCGCATCGCAGACTGTGTCCACGGTGACCCACAATTTCCAAAACGAGCCTTAAAAAATCGTAGAGGGGAAACTGCAAACGTGCTAAGTTCTTTACCAATTCCTCAGTTACAAAGGAGGGTGAACACTTTGTCTCCCTGATCTGCTAACCAAAGGGTTGGGACTTTGCTCTTTCTGAGATGTCTGCTCCTCGCTGCAAATTCTGCAGATTTCTGCTGCTCAGAGTCCCGTGCACTGGAAGGAACCACTGTCCCCGACAAGCAAGACCTGTCTTGCCTGCAGGAGGTCGCAAGAGGACCAGAGGTTTTTGTTTTTGTTTTTTAATCCCTGCCAGCCTCCCTTCCCTGTGTCACACTCACCCTCACGAACCTTCTGATTAACCCCTGTCCTTCCTGTCGGAGCAGAGGTTCTCAGTGAAGCAAAGGGCAGACTCAGCTCAGAACAGCACAGGTATCAAATCCTGGATGGACAGCCGCTCACCAGAGAGGATGGATTCTGGTGCCCATAGAGCAGAATATTCTCCGACCCTCTTCTCCAGACCCAACTTCCTGATTTCCTCCATCTGTTGCCTCCCAGGGGTTATATAAAAAAAAGAAAAATCTGCCTTAGACTCTGCAGTGAAAACAAGCATTTCAACAAGGAAACAGTTACCTGGATCAACCATGTTCAACTGTGACGCCTGACTAACTGTCCACTTTACATTTGACGAACCGGTCACTCTGTCTCTGATGGATTTTAATGTGGTTTTCATATCAAAAGAGTATGTTGTGATCAAGTGGCTTTTTTCCCCCCAGAATATAAACTCTCAGGCAAGGCATGTCTTTAAAAATGTTACGGGAGTAGATATACTTGGGTACTTATTGAAATGGATGGTGATAAATAAATGCTCTTCTATCATAATGCTACTTGATTTCTATGAAATATATTTGACAAGCCAAAATTCTAGGACATAGGAATCTGGAAAACTCATTTCCTGGGGATTAGATTCTCAAGGTTTGTTTGTTTGTTTTAAGTTAATTTGGGAAATTAGCAGCATTTCACTTTACTGCAGGTCTTTGCCACGTGTGACTGAACTTAGTTTTCATTTGTACACTGAAAGCAGTTGTTTTGGGATAGAGGAATACCTGTATTATACAAGCACAACAGGGTTTGCCCTAAAGAGCTGTCGTTGTTATAACACTATTTGGTAGCCTAACTTCATACGAGTACTCTTAATTGCCCAAGAAGTCAATAATTTGTCACATCGGGGTTTTGAATGTTTGCTTTAAGTGTCGGCTCTTTCTATGTTTTATAAACCAAAACAGAATTTCCAAATACAGTGAAGGAAACCAAAATAAATATTTCTGCATTTCAAGCGAGTTGAGTGACGCCTCTGTTCTTCATGTCAGCTGTCATGTTCGGGTGGCCTTGGATGAGCATGCACGAAGAACGGGATGCGCTCAGCACAGGCTCCTCCCTGTGTTTCCTCCCTGCCGGGGCTCCAACCCCTTCCCAGCAGCAGCGGTCCTGCTTTCTTTCAGAGAAGAAAGTCAAGGTGTGAATGGCACAGGTGTTCTTGAAAACTCAAATTCTCGCGGGGAAGCGACATTGCAGGAGGCGTCGCTGCTGTGGCTGGTTCTGGGGATTTTCATTCCGTGTGTCTTTAGTCATCCTCTTCCCGTAACACTGTCGGGGGAGATGGCTCATTCATAGCGGCCGACTGTTTCTTTTCCCCTGTCGCTACCCTACACTGTCATCTTAAAAGACTTGTCTTTTCCAGAATTGTGCATTAATCACCCCTTGGTCTCTTCTGTAGCCTGTTGTGTTTAAATACGCCTTCTTCCCCTGCTTTGGTGTTGGGTTTGGAGTGCTGAGGTCCGCTTTCTTCCTCTAAAGCCCTGTGCGCAGGTCTCTGGTAAGACTCCTCATCCAGGCTGCCCTTTTATCTTGCTTTTCCAATTCTTTACCTTCTTCCTTCCCTGCCTTCCTCTTGCTCTCTCCCATCATTGGGGAACCCTGTGACCTTCCTGTCTCCTTCTTGAGCTTAGGACTTAGGAACTGGTGAGTGTTTGTTAGATAACTCTCATTTGAACAAATCCTTGAAACTTTGAACCAAGCTTCTATAATGAGGTTGATAAAAACATTGTCTTTCTTTTTTTTTCTAATTCTGGTAAGACACACGTAAGATTGCCCGTCTTCATCATTTAAAAGCATATAGTTGAGTGGCATTTCATGCATTCACACTTGTGTGGCCGTCACCACCGTCCATCTCCAGAACTTGGTCACGTTCCAAAACTGCAGCTCTGCCCATTAAGTGATAACCCTCGTCTCCTCCTCACCCAGCCCCTGGTCACCACAGTTCTGCTGTCTCTGGACTTGGCTGCTCTAGGTGCTGTATATGAATGAATCATACAGTGCGTGAACTTCTGGGTTTCGCTTATTTCACTTAGCATTATGCCCTCTGGGTCCGTCTGTGTCGTCACAAATGTCAAGATTCTCTCACTTTTATAGTTGAATTAATATTTGTACGATTACATCACATTGTGTTTATCCAATCGTTTGTTGATGGACATTTGCTCCTACCTTCGAGCTTTTGAGAATATCCACTGTGAACGTCACTGTACAAATATCTTTCTGAGCCCCTGCTTTCAGTTCTTCTGGATAAACACCCAGAAGTGGAATTGCTGGGTCACCGGGTCATTCTGTGTCATTTCATTTTCTGGGGAGCTGCCACACTGTTTTTCGCATCACTTTAGATTCTCAGGGGCAGTGCACAAGGGTTCCACCTTCTCCACCTCCTTGCTAATACTTGCTGGCTTCTTTCTCTTCTTTTGATAAAACCCACCCTCATGGGTGTGAAGTGGTACCCCACTGTGGTTTTGATTTGCATTTCTCTAATGATGATAAAGTTGAGCATCCTTTCGTGTGCTTATCGGTCACTTGTGTATCTGCTGGGCAGTCTGGCTCTGGACACTGAGCTTTCCACCTCACACTGTGGAGGCTGCTTCATGTCTGCCTGTGCCAAGAACCTCCCAACAGAGACGTGTCATTGGATTGTTTCTTGGTACCAGTAGTTATGCCTCTGAGCTTTGGTCCAGATGGTTTTGATTCCTATCTAATGGTTTTTCTTTGCCACAGCACAGGCTAGAACCACTTGCCAGTGTCATTCTGTTTATAGCTCATAAATGAAATACAGTTGCTCTCTGTGATGTTGGAAACCCCAAATCCATCAAGGATCAAAAGTCAGGTAGAACCAGCCACTCTATTTCAGGAGGAAAGTAGATGTAAAGTTGGGTCACAGTCATGTGGCAGGTTTGTGAGGTCCCTTGGACATCCCAGGAATCATCAGCTGTGGAAGTGATGACAGCCACAGGTGTTGTGGACTTGCTGTGAGTGATGTGCTAGGCTATGCTCAACTTACGTTCTCATTTAATCCTCACAAAACCCCCACAAAACTGCAGGTTACAGATCCGCAGTTCTCTGTCTAGCATTGGCTAAGTGCCAAGGCACAGTTCTGAGCTGCGGGAACTTGGCAGTGAGTACAGCACACGGGATCCTTGCCCTGCAACTCTCTGCCGAGAAAGACGGACAGCAAGCAGACAAGTGAGTGAACAACTTCAGATGGCGATGGGGCTTTGAAGACAACGGGTGGGGTCTCACAAGGGCCTGTCTTCAGTGTTGTGGTCAGAGAAGTTCTCTTTGAGGACGTGACACTTGGGGTGATAACCTGAGGACAGAGGAGGAAACCTGCAAAGCTTTGGAGAAAGAGGGTTCAAATAGAATCAGCATGTGCAAAGGCCCTGAGGTGGGAAGCAGCTGGCTCTAGTCCAGGCACTGAGAGGAAGCTGGCACGGCTGCAGCCTCATAGGGAAGGGGAAGTGTCAGTTAGAGAAGCAGGAGGACCGGTTACCAGGCCCCGCAGCCCAGAAAGGAACCCAGGTTTTTTAAACCAGTAAAGGCTTTCGAGGCAAGGAGTGACGTTCCTTGAATGGCCCCTCCAGCCAGGCGCAGAAGTTTCAGAGGACAGGCCGAGTGAGGGTGAGGACAGGCTCACCTGTGTAAGTGAGGCTGCCTGAACCACGGTGGTGGTGGTGGAGACAGAAGACAGTCAATTTAAAAGCAGTTGGCGGCCGAACCCCTGTGCGTGGGGAATGGAGAAGAGGGTGGGCTCGGGGGTGAGCGCTGCAGTGGATGCTGGAGCCGTACTTACTGGGATGGGAAGACCCTGGAGAAAGGAATCAAGGGGCCAGGTGGGGGCGATTTCCATCTCAAGTTCCTGCTGGACAACTCAAAAGATAGATATCATCTGCCGCTCAGAAGACCGCTCAGGAGATGACAGATTGCGAAGTCAACAGCACAGAAAATGCAGGCTGAAGGCCTTTATCAGGCAGCCTGGGGAAGTGGGAAATGGGAGACCTGGAAGGAAGCAGAGCAGGCCCCAAGCAGAGCCCCTGGGGACCTCCACGGTGGGGGGCCTGAAGAAAGGGCCAGCCACGGCGGTGGAGAGTCACCTGCCGGGCGGAGGAGCATGGTGTCCCTGAAGCCCAGAGAAACAGTGTCAGGACGGCAGGGAGGCAGTCGGTGTGACAGCCTGCTGTTGCAACAGGGAACAGGGCGAGCTCTTCCCTCCTCCAAATCCTGGAGGAGCTGGATTTGGCAATAGCGGCGAACTTGGCAGTGAGTGTCTGGCAGAGCAGGGAGGCCAGAAGCCTGCTGGAGTGAGTTCCTGAGTCCTAGGGAGTCAGGACAAAAGGTGGCTGAAAGTTTTGTCCCATGAGTGGATGGGTGGTAACTGGAGAACAGGGGGGAAGTAGAGAGTCTTGTTTTTTTTTGTTGTTGCTGGTGGTGGTGGTTTTGAAGATGAGAGATACAATGGTGATAATGACCCATCAACCCAGAAAGTGATGAAGCCCGGAACAAGGGGAGACAGCTGTCCTGAGAGGGGGCAGGTTAGAGCCCATAATCAACTGCAGAGATCGCCCATCAATGGGGTATTTCAATAGGATGTGGCTTCCATTGTAATAGGAAGGGGACTAGAGAATGTGGGGTAGATATAGGTAGGTCCATGGTAATTGACATAGAAAAATTAGGGAGCTCCTATCTGAATAGTTCTCTCTCTCTTTTTTTTTATTGAAGTATTACTTCCTTGTTATGGATGAGAAACACGAGGCTTGGAGAGATCGGCCAACTTGTCCTAGTAAGTAACTGAGCTGGATTTTCTGACTCCAGAGCCGCTCCGTGTCTGGGCCACCTCCCTTCTGCATGGTATGATGCCTGGTGAGTGTCCTGAGCATCCCAAGGGCCCCACTGCTGTGTTGGATGAGGTTTTTTTTTTTTTTTTTTAAATTAGGCAACCAGGGCCAGCTATGGTCTCCACTGCAGTTTGAGTCAGGCCACCAGGAGGAATCGGGTAAATGCCAGGGACTCTGGACTTTGCTTGTCGTGTTTCATCCTTATTCCCAGTGATGGTTGCTTTTCACAGCGGACGAGAAGCTGCCAGCCTGCCCCCAGCCCTGGGCGGAGCAGTGGACTGAGGACAGAAGGCTCTAGCAGCACCGTGAGAAGGGAGGCCGTGGGTCTGTTGGATGCTCAGGCTCAGAGCATCCCTCTAGCTCCCACAGTCTCCACCCTCTCCGCAGGTATTATGACAGTGGTGGGCGTGGCCGTGAGTGTGGCTAAAGGAGACTCTCCTGTGGCTCACAGCACAGAGACGGCTCCTCTGTGTCCTGTCTTAGCTGAGTAATCACCCCCCAACCCCCGCCGCCAGCTGCCCTCTCATCCCTGTAACCCGGAGTGCTGCTCAATTCTGTGTTCATCTCCATCTCAGCCCTTCACCCAGCATGAGGAACTGGAAAACTCACCAACCTGACTTATTCATCCATACATTTGGCACAAAAAGAAGTCTAGCATTTTCATTTTGACGTCTCACTCCTTCGCCGTTGATTCCTCGGATGGTGGCGGTCTCGCCAGGTGAATTCTGCTTCCCCAGCACCACCATTCTTCAGGTGCAGAGGGATTCTGTTCTTTGCCCCAAAGCAGCATTCTTTTCACAAATGTATTTTGCATGTAAGTTCCTAGCCACTCTCTTTTGTGGCGATCTTTTAGGGATGGGGTGGTTGTGGCTGTCACATTTCTCTAGCAGAAACTGTCCTTGCCAGCTACAAGGTCCCTGCTCCATCCGGAGGGCGTGGGGAACCAGTCGGCTCACACTCCACTTTGGGCAGTGAGCCCGGGTCCAAAGGGACTCTTGTTCTTGAATCTCTTGCTTTCCCACACCCACTGATACTGCTGCCCCCACCCTGCTGGCTCCTGCCAGCTCCCTGCCCCCTCCAGGAGGAGCTGTCTCTAGGCTCTGCCATCTGGGAGAAACTCCAGGGC